CGTGCGGCGGCGTCGCGCCGCACCGGGGCCTCCCCGTCGGGCCTCCCTCTCCTCACCGCCGGGCGTCCCTCTCCTCCCGCCGCTGCCGCCAAGGGCATCGCAGGCTAAGCCTGCGGGCCGCGGCGGCCGCGGCGGCAATCTTCCTTGGCCGGCGATCGGATCTGGGTGGCGGCGACCTAATCCGGTCGATTGAAGGGCGATGGCGCAGGCCGGTGGCGACCAGGGTTGTCGTGTTGGCGGCGGCGATGAAGAGATCACGTCGGCGGCTATGGTGTCTGATCTGGTTCCCTTTCGGATCTGGATGGTGGTTCCTTGAGTTGTCGTGCTCATCCTTTGTTCCGGGGCGGCAAGCGACCTCTGGACTAGGCACGCGACACGAGGACGTCGGGGGCTCCAGCCCTGGGAGTGGAGGTGGTGGCCATCTTCTTCGCCGGAGGTGGTTGGCTAGATGGTTGTGGATTTTCGCATCCAGTCTGGGCGTAGAGTGGGGAGACGAGGCTGCCGGTGAAAACCGTGCTATGGCTCGGGTCATGGCGGGCGATGGCGGCGTTTTCGCGTCATTATCTTGTTGAAGACATCGCCTCTGCAGCTTCTGGCGACTTGCTTGCGCTGCTCTGGGTGAAAACCAAGATCCGGAGTTTTCGGATCGGACGATGGTGGTGCTTTTGGCGTCGTTTTCCCTCATGGGGGCATCGTTTTCTGAGTAGCGGCTGGATGCAGGACCAGATGACGGATTCTTCGGTGGAGCGGCGCGGCATTTCACTCATTGATGGCGGCGTGTCTCAACGGCATGGTGCTGTGGTGACTCTGCGTCCGATGCGCGGAGATGGACTCGCGCAGGAGGGTGACGCGGTCTGGCGTCGTGGTGGCGTCGACGGCAGCTAGACCAGGCAAGGTATATGTAGCAGTACAGCTCTGAAGATGGATTGGTGGTAGGTGGCAGCGGCGGCCTCAGACCCGGCAGGCGTCCTGGTTGAGAAGTGCGCCGGACTGGTAGGTGACCCATACCCGGTAGGCGTCCTGGTTGGGACCTCAGGTCTTAGATGTTAGGTTTGGCTGCGAGGTCTGTTTGGTACTAGGCCCAGACTATCAGCATCCCTTCATCACTTGGATAGGAGTAGCGACACTTTTGTTGCCTAGACGGTGGCTTCAGTCTTACTGTTGTATGACTTTGTATGGTCTGGTGTGAATAATTAATAAAGTGGTTGCATGCATCGTTCAAATGCAGAGGCCGGGGGTCCTCCTCCATTTCCAAAAAAATACGGCATTAGGAGAAATAACTATTTGGGTGGTTAACTTGCTAGTTGCCACGCGTGAAAATCACAGCTGAGCAAGGTTGCATAGGACATGCAGTAAACGACTTGACAATATTTTGAGGACCTAGATTTGTAGTTTCGGAGAATTTGGCCTAATTTGACACTTTCAAAAAAAGAATAAGGTTCTAGTACAATGCATTTTATTATTTTTGAGTCTCCATGAAAAGAAAGGGAAAGATAAAAGGAGGAAGAGCAAATACAAAAGTATTTGCTGCCAACCTACCCTCTCACCATCTTTTCTTCTTAATTAATTTACTGTCTACTACTTCCATACGAATGCAACATCTACTTTTGCTTGTGCGGGTGACTCCGGAGGCGACTCGATACCTAGGACAAAAAGCTCTATCTCTTATCGCCTCCGGCAGTCGGCCATGGCGGCACTACACTTCCATCAAAGGCGAAGGGAGTAGGGGTGCACCTTGTGACGCTCACTGCAAACAAGCACGCGAAGTATGGAGGTGTTGGAGTGGCGGCGATAGCGCATGGCATTGCATCAAGGTGGAATAGACGCGGCCATGTGTAGCTTCCTGCGCCTGGGGAAGCAACTTCATACCTTATTTGGCTGCTAGTTGTTGCAAGCCTAACCTTGTTCCTCCCATGTATGTATGCATGTATACGCTGCGAAAATCCCTTTTGGTGGGCGAGCTCCAATGAGGCTGTTTTTTGAAATAAAAAAATCAAAATTCATCAAATTTCATATTTTTACATTTCAAAAAAAATTCTAAAAAAATATAGCTATGCATAGAGGCATAATACACAAGTGTGTAAATTTTCAGGACGAAATACGTTGAAGTGAGGACTATGCAAAAAAGAAAAATCTGGGGCTAGTTAACACATGACACTATTTATTCTCTCAAGCCCTGAATTTTTCTTTTTTGTAAAGATCACATTTCAATATATTTCATTCTGAAATTTTACACACATACGCATACCATCCTTGTTTACTTGTAAAAAAAATCATATTTTTTTGAAACTGAAAAGTTAAAAAAGAAACCAAAAAAAGGCCTTCATGGAGGCTGCGAGCCAAAACGCCTCACTCGTATGCGCAACCATCAGTTGCGACAATTCATCCTTCGTCGAATTAGGAGGAACAAGCTTCGGCTTGCAATAACTGGCAACCCAATAAGGTAGGAGCCAACTACCGTGTCGACTGTCACATCATTGCCCATCCGGTACGGAGCGTTTCAGATTATACCTTGATTTTTCTTTCTTGTGTACCGATATCATTAAGGCTCAGTAAAATTTCCAGTCTCCCTCGGTCGCGCCTATAACAGAACACGCATCAAACCAAAGAGATCTTCAAACCGAGAGGCGCTCACAATCACTTGGCAGACATGGATACTAGGACGGCAGCGATGCTCGTGCTGACGCTCGTCCTCAGCGAGCACGTTCCAAGCTAGAGTCCTCCACCGAAGACCAGCCCACTGGCCCCAGCCGTTCTCCACCAGTGGCGGTGCCTCCACCGGCAACGATGGTGGCAACGTTCATCCACCTCAGGACACACCGACGAGCCCAATGGCTGAGGGCATGGACCTTTTTAGCGGCGGGGATGCCTCCGCCGGCAACACCGAGCTTTGAGTACCGAGCCATAGGAAAATTACTGAAGAAACTTTTTTTAGGAGCCTAAATTCAGTAAAGTGCAAACCTGAGGGGC